TAGTGCTCATTTTTGTTTCACTGGCATCCAAAAACATACTGTTGCAGTTCACAGTTTCTGAATACATACTGTGACTTGGACACTTGGATGTGAAGATAAATTATGGTTTACAAGGTTATCAGAAATAATAATAATTTTTCGGGTCTTTGTCAATAGAGAGAACAAGAGAGTTGGTCATCATTGTTTGGACCCCTCTCCAGAGGGCAGTCTGAGTCTTCTAGGCACAGACAACAGGAGCCCTAGCTCAGTTGTATACCCAGTTTGTTTCCTGGTACTTATCATGAGGAGGAAAATACTACCACTTTAAATCAGTCTTGCTGCAGCCAGGCTTATGCAGTGCTTTCCTGTGTTACAGACACCTCTGGTTAGATAACTGCCACCTCTGCTGCTTAGGAAGAGTACTAGGAGCAAATCATTGCCTTTGTCTGGAGAGGAGTACTTTCAGTGTGCACGCTGCAAGTACTGTGGACAAATGAAGTGTGAAATGAATCTGCCACCCTTATTTCCACATATCATATAAACTGCTCTATAAGAGAAACACTAATCTCTCTACCCTCCTTCATGTGTGCATGGAAAGGCAAAGATGCACACATTCATTAATATTAAAAGTGCTATCTAATTTTGTTGAGACTATGTATTGAATATAAAATGGTTTCTGTTTGATATAAAAAGACCAACTGAACTGCTGTATGTTTCCTCCTAGGGGAGCAAAATTATGTGTGGTCAAAACAAAACGAAAGGAGAGACAAGCAGAGACTCTTACACAGGATTACATCATAACACGTAAGGAATTTAAACATGTCTTTGTAGCTGCATCCTTATCTATTTCTCAGGTTTGAAATTATTTGCAGATAATTTAGCTTTATATTTTCCCCTCTGAAAAGTTTCAGTCTTTCATTAAGTATTGATCATTGGTGTGAGATGTTAGTGCTTCATATAAATTTTTTTGTAGCCTTGCACAACCTGAAAGGTATATATTCTGTATGCTTTGTAAAGTTAATAATAATGGTTGGTTTATAGATTCTGATGCACCTAAAAGCCTGAAAGGACAACTGCCTTAAAAAAACCCAAACCAAAACAAAAAACCCAACCAAAAGACTCTGAAATTTTGGAACTTTCTTAAGTCTTCAGTTTTGCATAAGTAAATTGGTAAGTTTAGATGCATTTAGGATGTTTTTTGTCACTTAGGAATATTAACAGTTCAGTGTCTAAATCGGAGACATTAGAGATAGGTCTTGAGCAAATTCGAAGGGCAGATTAGAAGAAGATGAGATCAACTGAGAGATTTTGGCCTTCCCCATTAGCATCACCTTATGTAGTGTTTCCTCATGTGAAATGAGAACAGTTATACAGTTGTGTGCTGTCCTACTTCTCTTCATCCTCTTCCAGTTCCATGGTGTTCAGATTCAGCTCTGTTTTCCAGTGGTCCTAGTCTTAGAAATAGCTAAAACCATTTCTGCAGAACAAAGTAGCTTGGCAGCATAATAAACAGAAAGAAAGCTTAGAAGGAGAAACCGGGTCCATATGAGGCTCATTGGTTCTGAGTTCTCATCTCAAGTACTTTGCTAGCCAGAACTATCTGCAGCTTACCTCACTACTGCAGATGTCCAGCTACAGCTTTTGGGTAGCAGTGGATAAAGTAGCCACTAGCAAAGATTAAGGATATTTATCTCCTTTGGGTGCTCTTCTCAATCCATCCTTCCTACAGCCTTGACTGTATCAGCACATGGTCTAGTATCAAAATACTTTGTGTATACAGTGTTTATACTATAAAGAGATTTTTAAAAATCTTTCAGCTTAAAATCCAATGGAACTTGTGTATTCAATGGCATTTATATATGCCATTCAAAGATTTAGGTCCCAGTTACGCAGTTTCAGTATTTTATCACTGTTTTAGCTGTTGAATTGTTTCTTACATATAATTTTGAATCTCAGTAGGGGTACTGGCTTATAAAGCAATGCAGAAAAATGTTATAAAGATTTGCTTTGCAAATTTTTAAGTTTGTTGCATATTTTGGAAACTTTTCAGAGATTAGATGTCTGTGTTTTAAGCTTACAGATAGAACTGGAAAGAACTGAAGATCTCGGAGATCCATTTGTGAATATGTGAATCAACACCTTTTTCCTTCCTTTTTTTCTTCGTCTCTCTCTTTTTTTTTTTTTTTTTTTTTTTTTCCCTCTTCAGACTTCTAGCTGCTCTTTAATCTCAGGATTGCTCATAGTAGCTATTTAAAATGCAGGAATGTTGTTTTGAGGGATTAGGTTTACTTTTAAAACACAGGAATATGTAGTTTGGGTTTCCCTTAGGCAGCCTTGACTCCACAAGCGGCAAAACTTGGATCTATGCATAGTCACCTCAGATGCTCTATGCAAACTGATGAAGCTTAGTGCTTGCCAGCAAATTGTCCCAGGCATTTCATAGTTCATGAAATCTGTGAAAATAAAACCTAAACATTTATTTCCAAAGATCTGCTGCTGTGTCACATGGCTTTGACTTCACTCACTCTAACAAATTGAGCAGTCTTCCAGAAATAAGCTGGAAAATCAAACTGGTATGTCCCTGGATGCTGTTTTCCCTTTTTTATTCAGTGTAGAGCCAGTGCCCCTAAACTTAAGATTTGTTTAGTTGGTTTTTGTCTTTGTTGGGTCTTTCACCCCAACACAGTTCCGCACGTATTGGGAAACGGCGACAATCAGCACACCTGAATGGGAGAGCTAAACCTCACCACAAGAATACCATGTGTCTTAACGTGGTATTTCTCTGTTGCTGACCAATGTGTTGTCTGAGCAGACCAAAACCATTTCTGTGACTGAAGATACTGTAGCAGGTTTATGAGGAAATAGAAGTTTTAAATCCTGATAATTTAGCCACATTGTCTCAGTTATGGGTGGTCTTCCAAGCTTGATTAATCTTATAATTTAAAAAGACCACATGACTGTGACTTCATATGCAGAAACATTGTATTTTGGATCATTGAGGGGATTCCGCCCCTCTCTGTTTCAGATCCGAGAATGCATCTAGGGTTTTGTATAGAAACATGGACAATTCAGAGAAGAGCAACTGGTTGGTCACAGTGCTAATGTTGAGAGCTGAATGACAGAGGAGTAAATTAAATATGCAGAAACTGTGCAAACAATATTTCAGATGAAAGGCTTCTGTCTGAAGGAACCCTGGAAATCTGTCTGCTTTCATATTTGAAAAATTCATCAGGAAGTAGCTCTCTAAAATACACCTCAGTGAACTGCTGCTTGGTTATGGGAGAACTGGGAGGCTGCTAGCTTCCACCACCTTTTCCACTGCAAGAAAGAATCTCAGTCTTTGTGTCTGTGATTAAAACTTTCAAAAAAAGAAAGGAATTTCTAATGTTACTTTTTCTCTGAACTGTGACTCTTAGCCCATGCGCTTCCGATGTTCCGTGAACCACGACAACGAAGCACCAGGAAACAGCTGGAGAAGGATAGACTGGACCCCATGAAGTCTCACAAACCTGAACCTCCAGTGGCAGGACCAGGTAATCCAGGCATAATCATTTCAGACTGTCACACGTCAAATGGAGCGTTATGCTTGGGTTCTACACTCACTTGGATTTGCATTCAAACTTTTATGGGTGGTGACTCTACTATATATGTATAGCCAGTGTCCAGCACTGTAAGACACTGGGTTTTGATTGGAGTGCTTGCCTGGAACAAATTAATAATCTCTTAGTCAGTAAAACACTTGAGTGAATGCAGCTCTAAATTAGACTCTTCCTATAGTATAAAGTAACTTCTTTGTATCAGATCACTGTTATAGACACAATAAAATATTTCTCTGTTTGTTTCTGAAATATTATTCTCTAAAATACTCTTTCTTTTTTTTGCTACAGGTCGCGGTGGGCGTGTTGGAACTCACGGAGGTACCTTGTCATCATATATAGTCAAGAATATTGCACTGGATAAAACAGATGATAGCAACCCTCGAGAAGCTATTTTACGTCACGCAAAGGAAGCGGAGGAGAATCCATACTGGGTTGCTCCGGCATATGCTAAGTAAGGAAACAATTAAAAATACAAGTAATATTTCTGCAGGCCGGTGGGAGTTTGGTAAAAATAGAAGACACGCATTTTTAATGGTATAATTTGCTTTTTCTGGATTACTGCCACAAATATATAAACCAAGAATATATCATCCTCTTTTATGAAGGTAAGAGTTTCCAGGGAGTTGAGTTGTTGAAGTTTCACATTTTCGTTTTTAAAATTTACCTATCAGTGCTAGAAAATTATTTTGAAGCTTTCGAAGTTATTAGAATTTAGAACCTTCTCCAAATCAATGTCTGAAATTGCAACATACCTTTTAATAAGGCACTGTCTCACTGACAGAGTGGGATAAGTTTTACAATATGCCCTCTAGTAGTGACTGATTCTTAGGTTAAACTTTCAAAACATTTACTTGGTGTTATGACAGCGTATTTTAGATGACTTCTTGAATGTCATAGGTTTTTGTTTGAATTTTTCCTACATAAGGACCTGAGTACCTGCTTGAATTGATTTGGTGTTAAAGATATAGAAATATTGAAAACTGCACTCATAAAATCTCCTACCAAAAATTCAACATAAAGAAATAAGTATTCAGTTGTTGATGAAGCTCTTTACGTAACAAGGCTGTGGTAGTAAAATCCTGGTAATCCCACAGATGGTGGTTTACTCAATTTAAACTGTATGTGTGAGTGTGGTATTTGTGTGTATGTTTTACAGTGAAAATTGTGCAATATACTTCTAGATCGCTTTTTACCAAAAATTTTTTTTATTCCTAAAAATAAATGCAATTCAAATCATTAACTAAGTACATTCACAATAGTACTAAAATAAATACTAAATAAATGCATTTCATACTAATGAACAGAAACAACTTACTTTAAAATAACTAAAATTTTAACATTGTTATTATCATTGGTGTTTTTATTACACAAAATATTCTATCTAGTATAAGTAGTATTTTCAAAATGCATAAGGAAAACATTTTGAGGAAATGAAATAGTCTGCACAAAGCAGTCTGCAAATAACTATTTTCTCTTGTTTGCAGCCCAGTGTTTTATCTCATAGGCTGTATGTTCGTTAGTACTTTAGTGACTGTACTTTTTTTATTAGTATTTAACTCTTTAGTGAAATAATCACCACTTCTCTTCAGAAACTCAAAATATATTGCCTGCATGAGCAGACAGGAAGATCCTGAACAAACTTAGGATCAAAAAAGAAGCCTACAGAGGGTGGAAGGTAGGATGGGTAACCTGGGATGAATACAGAGAAATTGCCCGAGTGGCCAGGGGTCAGGTTAGGAAAGCCAAGGCCCTGACAGAATTAAATTTGGCCAGAGATGTCAAGGGCAACAAAAAAAGCTTCTACAGGTATGTTGGGGAGAAAAGGAAAACTAGGGAACATTTGGGCCCTCTCCGGAAGGCAATGGGAGATCTGGTCACCGGGACATTGAGAAGGCTGAGGTGCTCAATGACTTTTTTGCCTCAGTCTTCACCGGCAAGTGCTTGTGCCACACTGCCCAAGTCCTAGAAAGCAGAGGAAGGGTCCAGGAGAATGAAAAACCACCTACTGTAGGAGAAGTTCAGGTTTGGGAGCACCTGCACAAGTCCATGGAATCTGATGTGGTGCATTTGTAAGTCCTGAGGGAACTGGCAAATGAAGT